CGGTTAAGGTGTTTATGCCTTTAGTAAATCTCTACGCAATAGTTTTTAGTGTAGTGTTTGTCGGTCTCATTTGGATCAAAATATCTGCGAGATTAGTGTCTTAGCTTAAAATACAAAAATATTGTTTCAGAAAATTACCTTGCACAAGAAGGTTTTGTGTAGCTGTTATAATATATTCCTTGCGAAGCTTTTAGAAGTTCTAAGTGATAATCGGATTTTGCGCAGCAAAGCTTTCAAGGCCTCTTAGAAATAAACACAAATACAAAAAGTTATACAATTGTAGTCAGTGAAACAAAATTTCAGAAAGTCGCTCTATTTACAAAACGATATGTGGTATCCTGTAATAAAACTCTGAAAGTAATTTAAGGAAAAATTTCATAAATCGCATGGTAAAAATGCCATTTGAGATGTCAAATTGTAATTTGAAATTTTCACACTTCATATTAATTTTTTTTTCTTTTCAACGCTGTCCTTATCGTGAAATTCTTTGTACCTGTTTCTCTGAAATATAATAATATTTCTAAATTTCATATACTTGATAACCAAATGGTTACTTCTCGTATTATCTGAAACATATCGAAATCGTTGCGTACAAATACCTAAACCAAGTGTAAGGAAGATTTGCGTGTCTTTCCTTTTAAAAGGGAAATTAAAAATAATTAATCGTTGGCAGAAGGCAATCTGATTCGGAGACAGGCCGAGTGAGAAACTAGGCTTCTTGGTGTTACGCAGTTTAGCGTGTTGCGAACGCAAAAGAAAAAAAAAATTGGTTTAATTAAGGCAAAGCATGTAAGGGCTTTCTGCCAAGAGAGTAATGCCTTCCGGTTGGAAGAAAACGTCTATTTGGAAGCTTTCCTTTGAAGGAAAATGATTTGTATTCCCGTTACATATGGGAAAAACCAAAGGGTCAACCCAAAAAAACAGCTGCCCATTTTGACGGGATTTGAAAGCTGAGTCGGACAACATTCAGCAGTCTTATCTACTCGAACATTTGTGGGCACATTGAAAAATCTTTTGAAGAAATTGTGTGTATGTTCTACTTCAATCCGGAGAAACGTGATAAGAATCAGGAAGAAACTTTTTCTTATATATTATAGCACTTATAACCTAAATATAACTTTACATGCATTTGGAAATGATAGACATCATGTGACTCATTTTTCAGCGATATTCACTTTATTAAACTGCGCTACGAAAGTTCACTCCAAATATTTATATTTCATTTTATATCTGTGGTAAATCTGCTACAATTGAAGTGTATATTCAGAATACAGAAAAAGTTTCACATTAAAACAATAGAAATGAGAATGATAGTAAGAAAGATTTAAAAATTCGCTCACAAAAAAGTAGTTATGCAAAATATGCGCAGAAAACTGAACGATTCTTTAAGTAAAATATACATTAGAAGCATTTTCAATAATTATAACATTATGCTGATATCTTTAACTTAAACCAATTTGATATGTTATTCAAAAATTTCAAAAAAAATTATAAAAAGATAAGTTTATTGTTTTTAAATCTTTGATCGATTATTGCTTTTAAATGTTTTTAAATTTAATTTTGTTTTATAACTGTACAATGATTAAATTCGAAATATACGCATCTTATGTTTTACCTAATAGCAGGTTTCTGAAAATTAATTAAATCACCAGGCCATGTGGAAAATAAACTATTGACTTTACGTTTCGCGCAGAGGGAACACATGCTAAGACTAGGATATGATACGAGTACATTCATAACAGTGTAGCGTAACGTAGCGTAAGGGTCCAAATATTTTTACAACGATTCTTCCAAGATCATTTCTAGTGTCAATATAAATGAATTTTCAGTAAAAAATAATTTCGAATGATTCATTTACGTTTTCCACTATTTAGTCCCCATTTAATAGCTAATTGATTTAAGGCAGTAAATTGTGAAAAAATTGGTTAACGTCTCTAGGGCATTCACCTATAAATTGTGGTATGTAAAGCATTCTAACAAAAAAATTATATTATTAGCATTCTTTTAGATCTTATTTGCAATGTTTAAGCAACAGCAATTAATTTCGAATTCTGATTACGATCATTGAGCGGTATCTTCAGTTTAAAATTTATACAGTCATTGAATAAATTTAATTAAATGACTTAGATCTTAGAGTCAGATTTTAATAAAGATATAAATCTGTAAATTTTAAATGCATAAACAACTCCTGAGCCAATTAATTCAATTAAAACTTTCTCTAAATACAAACCTTTCATTGTATCATTAACAATAGCAGTTTATGAGATTTACAAGGAAATATTTTGATTAATATTGGTATCTGTTTACTCTGAAATAGATAATGTTGTCTACCTAGATAGTTTGTTTTCATAGAAGCTTTTTTGAGGAATTAAAGTTGATTGATCACCATGCCAAGAATAACATGGAAATTTTCATATACTTGACCCGTTATGTCACGAAAAGTCAAATCTCATTCGACATTCAGAGCTACTAATATACAATCCTTCTCATAATCACTCAGTGTGAACTCGGTGGGAAAAATAAAGTATTATTTTCAGTCTTAATCAAAAAGATAAATGGCTTAGGAGAAACTTATTCCCATGAAGATATCTTTAAAGCTGATAAAAGTTATCAAATCGTTGTCATGAATTAAAAATTATACACTGATTTATTACATTTTTTTATTCATGACAATGGTTCAAAGAACTTTTAAACGGAGTCTGTAATTTTTGCTATACAAAAAATTTTCAGATGCAATAAATGCAAAAACAGCAATAAATTCTTATATATTTTTAACTCATTCAAAGAAAATTATAATCCGTATTACTGGATATATGTTTTATATCCTTTACAAAATTCATAAAAAAGGATATTCCATTCTTTCTGACTGACAGGCCATTTTATATCCATCAGCCAAAACGTTATTCGCAACACTGTTCATTTACTCCATTACTTTCTTTCGTTTTAACTTATAATTATTGATTTATTCTAAGGAAATCTGATTATGAATTCAAACGGTGAATTTAAAGATAAAATTTTATTTATGATTAGCATTTTACTTAATAGAACCCTGATAAATATCCTTTGCCCTAAATAATTCATGCTTTAAAACACTTTCTGAATATAGCAGATAACATGAAGTCCAAAATAGGGTTTTCTGAAGAGATAGAGAGTTTCTGAGAGATTGAGTATTCCATTCCGCAGAATATTAGACTATGCTTTTCAGAATAGTCTAATGTTACTATATAGGATGAGGGGGGAAAAACAGAAAAAGAAAACTTTCGTGAATTGAATTGAATACAAAATTGAAGTAAAATAAATACACCTGTCCAGTGCTTTGAAATTATTGTTAAAACTATTGAGACGCTGAACTGGGTGATAAAATGGCTAAGCAAAATGTTTCAACAAGACATAAAAATCACCTTTTCAAACTACATTTTTTCCTACAAAGTTAAAATCGTTATACGTATGTGCTAGATTGATCTAGTAACGTAATGCATATATTAGATGGTATCGCTTTTGTTTGAAATCATTAAAGTTTTCCTTTTCGAATCCCGTTATTGAATATCATTTTAAAAACTCATAGTTTATAATATGAATAGCTCAACTGTGGTAAGAAGTCATTTATCTAACGCAAAATAATCCTATTATATAATCGTGTTTACCCCGCAAGCAATAAACAATCAGTTTTACGGTACAATAATTAATATTACAAAAATAATACTCTCTATTGTTCTCTTCGTATATTTAACGGCATATAACTTGGCCATAAAAATCTACATATTCTCTGTAATACACATAAACCTTTTGCTTATTTATTTGTGGCTACTATACATCTGAAAAATCGCACGTAATAATATGAGTATTTTACCGCACGCAGCTTAGAGTATATGGCACTTAATTATTTAATATGAAATTTAAAACCACTTGTTCAGTTATAGATACAATATAGGGCACTGAATCGATGAGAGATTTAGGCAAATATAATTCACATCTAAAAATTAAATCTCTCCAAAAAGTTGTAAAAATATTTTTCTCGTCGATGTTTCTAATTCAAAATATTTTAAAACATTGTTCTGCCTTCTACTAATTGTGCAGGAAGCAGAAATCCTATTTTGCTTGAAATTCTATTTAAGGAAATATTTTGAAAAATAAAAACTTTAAATAGCAAACATTAGCATTTAAAAGTACAATATTTCTAATATCTTACTAAGTTATTCTCATGCAAATGTTTCATTATAAATTGGGAATTAGTGTGTGTTTTATTAAAAATTGCGAAATTTCATGCAATAATACATTAAGCTTATAAAATATAAGATTTTGTAGAACATTAGGAAATAAAATGTTTATTCAGAATGCATAAAAGGAAACTATGAAATGTGAATTCAGTGTAAAATAGGAAAGATCTCGACATAAAAAAGTGTAATTATTTTACAAATTAAATCCTTTAGGTAGTAATTGAAAGAAACAAATTAATAATGTCAGTAAACAAATTAATTCGTTTCATTAAATATTTCATACTGAAACATTGAAAACTGTTAAGAATTGCTATTGTATTGATAATTTTCACTCTATTATTGATCTCCCAATTTATCGAATGATACTGCCCTATTCAGATGGAAGAAACGTTTCATTTTCTCCTTTTTACGAAATACACTTGTAAAAACTCATTTAATTTACAAATTTTATACAATTTCACTGATGGTGGATGCATAAATGACATTTTGTGGAAACCGAAATTCGGGATTTGAGGTTTATCATCTGATAGAATTAATAATTTTTAAAGCCACACGGGAAGACATCTACCGTCTAGTGCAATGTGATATTATCACCACTAGGGCGCATCAGTTAAATTTTGTAAATTGCTAAAGAAAAAGTGGCTCAACTGCTATTCTAAGACAGATCGCCCTGCAGCTACTAATCCTCATCATTTATGGATGAGTGCCCTATATGAGAGGGAGAAACACGCAAAATGGTGCAAAATTCATGTATTCAAGCTTGTAAGTCAAAAACATCCCTACCTGGCATAAAGCATGAGTCATCTTATCCCCTCTGGGACCCTCTCCCCCAAGCCGGCCGCACTCCTCCAAGCTAATGTACACGGACGTTCCCCCTTTCTCCAGCAGGGTCCGGACTGCTTGCCGGATCAGCTGCCGGTGCTTCGGCTGCTGGACACCGATTGCATCTAGATCCGGATCCCCTATCTGCTTGCACATCTCTAAATCGTCATAGCCATTGTCCACAAAACTTTCATAATACTGTTCAAGGTCCAGGTATTTAAGCCACTCTCGGACGATGTTCTGGTCAGTCATGAGTGCTCTCTGTGGTCACTCCGCATACTGTACAACAGTGTATGAGACGTGCATGATGCGTTTTATTTACAAGAAACACGTGGTCACCCAATGTCGTTTGTCTGAGTGGTTATATAATCCCGTGTGATCCTCAAAAAAGAAAGTATAGTGGGGCAGTTTGACAGAGAGGCGACGATTATGTCAACTTTCGCTCTCGTGTGCGTACGAACAGCGTGGCAAGCGGGGCAGAAAACACCACCCGCATATCCACCTAGTCTGACGGCTGACTTCCATTTGACGGAGGGGGTTTGTATCGTGCGGCGGATATTCCGAGAGAAGCGCATGCGCGATGAAGTTTCGATTCGACACGGACACAGTTTCGTTTCCAGTCGCCGCCACCGGCGATACTGTCAAACATTTGGTGTTATTTTTTTCCTTCTACCAATACAATTATTTCAAGATAACATGCTCCTCTATTATTACGAATTTTGCTATTTCATTTTATCATGCTTTCAAGCATTCAAGGATAGCAAAATTTTGTTAATTCTATCAAATGCTGGATCACTATAATAAAAATGCAGAATATTTCCTAAAACAGAGAATGTTTAAAATTTCCGCATTACGCCCGAAAATTTTAATGCGATGCAATAAGAAATCAATTTGTAATTTTCATTTAATTTTATTTGTCTTACACTACTTTAAAAACTTTAATTAAAAATTAAACAGATAATTTTAATACTTTGATGCTTAACTATTTTAAACGGATAACTTAAACCATTTTTACTTTTTCTAAGAAATTATACTTAAATATAAGAAATAAAATGCGCAATGAGTCTTAGATTTATATCATTAGAGAGATTTTAATGTTTTATAATGCTGGAACACTATGAAACCCTGTTATAAGGAATCCGGTTTATACTTTCGGGGGTGTAACAAATGAAGCTTTCGGTCGCATCAAATTTTCTATACACTTAATATTATTTTATCGCATTCTATTATATTTGAAGAAATTAAATAATGAAGAATCTGTATAAATGTATGTATGCTTCTCGCATTGTGTTAAAATAACGGTACCTAAAGCAATCCAATTTTGAATAACGTAATCCTCCACAAAAATATGGACATCTTAGTCCAAATTTGGAGTTTGGAATTTGTTTTATTATCGATTTCATATTTTGTAACACTTTAATGAATTTTGGGTTAACAAACACAACTATTTTTAAGCAAGCAATGGTAACACTGTATGGAAAAAAAAAAAAAAAAAAAAAAAGATTTTTATCTCCAGCGCGTGAGACTGTGTATCAGAAATTCTAAAGATGTGCTCATTTTAAAATTATTTTGTGATATTGCTGTTGAATTAAATTGTATGCTTTATGTGCGATGAACATAATATTTAATAAATAAAGGTAACACACAAAGCGTCAAAAAACGCCCCTTTGGATGTAATTTAAGATCTGGAAAACTTTTTTTTTTTTTCTTAACTTGTTTTTTTGGATTTTCAGCACTTTTAGCAGAAAAATTACTAATCCTCAAAATCTTTCATGATTAGGTAATCAAAATAGCGACAACTACTACTTCAACGCTACTTCTCTTTTATTTTCAATCTTATTATTTTTACATGTTCTAAACGATGGCTATTCGAGGCCGGTGTGACACCTAATTCTTGGGAAAACCAAAACACAGAGATCTTAGGCTATCTTATTGTGTCACTAAAACAATTCTTTGTATATAAAGATGTATTTTAGAAGAAGATGCGTATTTTGAGAGAAAGTACTGAAACATGACTTTCATGCTAAGTAATTTATCGTATAAAATTATTAACGCACGATAAAACAGAAAGGGCTCAAAAAAGTTTAATTAATCTACGTCGCAATAATTCTAATTAACGCTTAATATAAAAATGTTTTATGACTAAAGTTACGCTTCATTTTTTGGTAGATGTTACAAACCTAATCAATGTAATTGTAATTCATTAGTCAGTTTTTACAATTCTTCGTAAGATAATCTATTTTCTAATGGGAATCGGATATAGCCAACCGCTGGATATAACGAACAGCTTCAGGTTCTTGAAGTTCATTATAGCGAGGTTTGCTATATTCGTTTCTGATTCGGTTTATTTCAGTATACTGCGTTTCAAAATTAAATCGAAAGTAATAATAGGTATTTTATAATTATTCATTTAAATATTCCAAATTCACAAACTCTTTACCATTTATTATTAATTTAGGTTAAAAAACACACCGAACAAAGATTAATTTAGAAGTCAAACAAATGCAAATATAACGCTGATTTTTGTTGTTTGACTTCTAAATGTATTATTGCCTTTTATCCTATCTGTTATTATTTATTCTTGAATTATTCTTCTTGTTTAATCCTTAGTTTATAATGAAAGAAGAAACCATAACAGTTTGTTGGTAAGTTCAATAATTAATAATTATTAAATAGCTTACCTTGAATTTTCATCGACTTATAGTTACCTGGAAGTACTTGAATTTAAAGACAGTAAAGACACTCAAAGAAGTGAATAAGAGATTTTGACTTAATCAGCTGTTAGAATTTGTTTACATGAATTCATTCTTTCTTAGCATCGAATACTAGTCGTTTGGTTTTATTTAATCTGTTGCTACAATCACACGGCAAAATTAAAAAATACATTACGAATTAAACATCTGGCGTAAGGACAGCGCCATTTATAGAAAAAGATAAAAAAAACATAAACATTTTTAAAACTGAACATTTCTCCCCTCCCTCGGGCTGAACACTCAAGTTCAGGAATGACTACTTAGAAAGAGGTAAGCATTTGGAAATTGGACGTCAATAAACTCCAGTTGACGTTTTTACTTCAACAAATCGAACAACTCCGTCTTTTCCAGAAAAAACTTATGCGATTCTTCCAAGATTCCACTTGAAAGGAGGAAGAGAATCCTCTTTTGTAAGTAGTTGTACTCAAGCTTGAATTTTGATTTTTGAATGAGCTTAATTATAGATTTAGTTGCTTGTTCAAGCTCTCCAGGTGACAGTATACCTTATACCTTTGATTTTTTTTTACTCTAAGCTTGTATTTTGCAATTTCTAATGAATCTTAAACACCACGAAATTATTCTCTGAAATTTTGAAAACGATGAGTATTTTGAAACAATTTTTAACATAGCAGTAACTTCAGGTGTGTCTGAAATAGTGATACTGATCAACAGAAACGATTTCTTTTCTTCGCATCTGATATCATCTACACATGCTTCTTGTGGATCTCTAGGCAGAGGGAGCATATTATGTTGATACAGCCATTGAGGATCATGCCACCACAAAGACTCTGACTTTTCCGTTTTAATGCAAAAATATCTCTGGAGGCACAATTTGCTCGAATTTCTTGACTTTTCACGTAATTTCATGAAGCTTCTGAAGTTGAAACCGATTGAAGGTATTCGCTTACGATGTTTGCTTGAATGTTTGATAATCTGTTAGCAACAAAACTTTTCCACATTTGAGGGGATAAACTAAGCCAATCTAAAACTATTTTTGAGTTTAAATATAAAATAGACTTAAAAATGTGAATGTTCTTCCTTAAGGATGTTGAAACAACTTTATAGAGTGAGTCTAGAAAGAAGAGGCGCTGCACATAGTTCGAGTCTTGGCAATGTTATTGTCTTTACAGGAGCAAATTTTGTTTTTGAAGTAATCAATGAAACGTGGAATGTTCCATTTTCGAATATTGTTATTAGATAAAACACTGCAGCATAGGCATGTTCAGACGCATGGCAAATTCCAGTAAAAATATTAAACTGAATATTTTTAACAGAACTGTTTTTCATCATGAATCGTGAAATCTTTATTTCAGCTAAATGTTCTATTTGATATTTAAAGAGACTGCATGATTGGGAAATATATCATTAGATATATATTGGTTTTGTACAAACGCTTAGGGCAGATTGGTCTATATGCTCGTAGACCTGTCAGATGCGTTCCACTTACTGCAACTCACTGTCTTCTGAGGTTAGCCTGGAGTAGAGAGCATGCATTGTGGACACTGGAACAGTGGGCTTGTGTGATGTTTTCCGACGAGTCCAGGTTTAGCTTGCAGTCTGATTCTCGCCGGACTTTCATATGGAGAGCTCCAGGTACCCGTTACCACCAAGAAAACATCATTGAACGACACCGTTACGGTGGTGCAGGAGTGCTCGTTTGGGGTGGAATTATTCTGGGTTCCATAACTGACCTGCATGTTCAAATTGGAACCATGACAAGCCAAATCTATCGGGACGTCATTCTGGAACAACATGTACGTTTGTTTCGGGGCGCCATGGGCGCACAATTTGTGTTTATGGATGACAACGCCGGTCCTCACCGTGCAAACATCGTAAGCGAATACCTTCAATCGGAGGATATCACCCGTATGGACTGGCCAGCATTCTCACCAGACTTTAATCCAGTAGAGCACGTGTGAGACATGCTTGGCCGACGATTTGCAGCCCTTCAACCTCCTCCTACATATCTACCAGAACTTCGGAGGGCATTGCTTTTTGAGTGGTGTAATATCCCCCAAGATCAGATCGATAATTTGATACTCAGCATGCCTAGGCGTTGTACGGACTGTATTGCATCGTCTGGGAGACATACAATGTATTAACAATCATACCAACCACGTAATATTGGTTTTTTGTAAATAGTTTTTTTTTTTTTTTTTTTTTTTTTTTTTTTTGTAATTTGCTCCAGGGAGAAAAAATCGTTAATTTTTTTAATAATATCAGACATATAGCATTTTTTTCTCTTTACCTTTTGTTTAATAAATAAGCTTTACAAATAAGTCAAATTTGTTTTGCTTCTAACTCTTTTTTTGCCTGATTTTGCATTATCCTTAATTTATTGACATGAGTGTATTTGACACCCTTCATGAAATGAGCCAACCCAATTTTGAATTTAGAGCGGATGGTTGGTTTTGATTTCCCACTATATTTCCAGTTTTAATTAAATCTAAGAACATATCCACACCCATAATGATATTAATCCGTCTACTTTTGTGTAAAAGAAGGGTCTGCTAATTGTAATTCTTATTCAAATGAGGCCAACTGAATTCTGACAGCTCAAAGTTTGGTAAATTTGACGTCCGCTTTTTGACTACTAAAGCCTTAACAGAAAAGTTCTCGTTATTAAAATGGGGAGTAAAATTTTAATTAGCTACTTTCGTAACACGGGCGTCAACTGTATCATCAAGTCCTAGGATAGTGTGTTCAGACTTTTGAAATGAAAGTTTTAGTGGATTACAGCACAA